CAACCCAAAAAACAACGAGAAATTCGAATTTGAAATTGAATTTCCGTCATTTTGAGTCCCATATTGACCTAGTTTGAGAAGATGGCCTAGAAAAACCCAGAATTTGGGTTTCTAGGCCAACTACCCAAAAGTGGCCTAATTTGGCTTAAAATGGGCCAAATTGTTTAATGTTAGGCTCAAATTTTGTGCTTTTCTCGTTTTTCTGCCTACCAAATTCTTCCGAGCCTCCGTCTCCGATGGAATTTCCAGAATTCGTTCTCGTATCCTCAGGACCAGATCGACAATTTCTACATTGTGCTTGGTGGACAACGTTTGGGCGCCTGTAATTCAAATTTTTGCTAAATTTTGGAAATTTTGAGCTAAAAACCACGAAAAATGAGCAATTTTAAGCCATTTTCAAGTTGGTGGCCTAGAAATCCAAATATCGGGAATTCTAGGCCACCCACCCAAAAACTAATATTGGACTTGAAATTGTGAGAAAATTTCCGTTAAAATGAGCCCCATATTGACTATATTCGGTGAATTTTGAAGTTTGGGGTACACATGAAATCTCGTCTGACCTAAAACTCCAAATTTCGGGATTTCTAGGCCATCTATCCTAAATCTGATGCTAAAATCGAATTTTTCACAAAATTCCAGTCATTTTAAAACCAAATTCGACCAGTATTGAGCATTTGGGGGTTCCTACGAAATTTCAAAAATTTCGTGTGTGCCCCAAAACTCAAATTTATTCAGAATGGACCAAAATAATTCAATATGGGGCTCAAAATGACGGAAATCAGATGGCGAATTCGAATTTTGAGTTATTTTGATCGAAAAATCAATTTCCAGGGGTCCCTGGTTCGATCCCCGCTGCGGCTCGAATTTTTTTGTTGGTTTTTTGAAAATCGATTTTTAGCACTTTCTAGGCTAAAAAATCGCGGGAAATTTGAATTTTCGGGTTTCCAAAAGCCTAAACAGGCCCAAAACTCACAAAAATCCGCCGAACAGAGCGCTTCAACGTAGTGAGCTTTGAGTTGATTTGTCACATCTCGCGACCGCATGGAGAGCCAACCGCCAAAATTGGAGCAAGTGATGAACCGTTTGTAGAGGCCTGAAAAATTGGAAAATGGGCTGAAATTTTTTAAAAAATGGCTGAAAATCCGCCAAAAATGGCCCAAAATGACCAAAGGTGGCTCTGTGTGTCTGAAAATCCGGATGTCCCCCTCTCTCACCTTGCCAATCTCCTTTCGTTCCACACGTCAGCGATGGTCCACCGTTGGTGTCCACGGATGCCAAAAAGTCGTCCATCGAGAAGGGACGGGTGCTCGGGATGCCCTGAAATATCGTTTTAGGTGAAAGATGGAGATTTTTGATGTTTCTGTGGGTCAAAAACACTAAAAAATCGCTTAAAAGCAGCTAGGATCACCCTAGAAACCCTAAAAATCGACTTCAAAAAAATATAAAAAATTCGAACCACAGCCGGGATCGAACCAGGGACCCCTAGAAAATGAATTTTCGCGGGTAAAACCACTAAATTCAAATTTGCCATTCAATTTCCGTCATTTTGAGCCCCATATTGACATATTTAGGCCTATTTTGAAGGATTTTGAGTTTTGGGGCACACACGAAATTTTCGAAATTTCGTAGGAGCCCCAAAATGCTCAAAATTTGCCGAAATCGTGTTTAAAATGTCTGAAATTTTATGAGAAATTCGATTCTAGCTTCAAATTTGGAGTAGATAGCATAGAAATCTCGAAATTTGGAATTTTAGGCCAGACGGAATTTCGTGTGTGCCCTAAAACTCAAAATCTACCGAATATGGTCAATATGGGGCTCATTTTGAAGGAAATAACCTCACAAATTCAAGATCGTTCTCTGTTTTGAGGTGGGTGGCCTAGAAATCCAGATATTTGGGGTTCTAGGCCATCAACTCTGAATTGGCTTAAAATGACCTAAAATAGCTCATTTTTCCCCAATTTTTTAGGTTTTTAGCTCAAAATTTTCCCAATTTTTCGATTTTTACCTTAAACGGTGACATTTCCTTCTTCAACGGCATCAGCGAGCTCAAATATCGTTCCATCGGGATCATAAAGCTCTGGGTGAGCTCCAGGAAGTGTCTCTGCAGAATATTATGCTGAATTTCCAGCGAATTTCCAGATTTTAGCAGCTTTTTCGCTAGAGACTTGTCTTTTTGAAGAAATGGCTTGTATTGGGTGTAGAGACCGGGCGGGGTGTCCAGTGTCCGCGAGGTGGACCAAGTTTTTCTGAAAAATCCAACTTTTTGGCTTAAAACCGCTTAAAATTCCTCAAAACCCCCGAAAAATGGCTTAAAATCGCTGAAAATCGCCTTACTTTGGCTTTTTCATATCGTCCCCTCCAATTTCGGCTCCTTGCTCTGCTACTTTTAGTATATGCGGCCAGTGGTCAAGAGCTTTGATGAAAAACGGATTGGTGACGCCTAGAATCACTCGTGGTCTGAAAATTCGCGATTTTTCGCTGAAAATACTGGAAAAATGATGAAAAATGAGCCATTTTAAGCCATTTTTGGCCAATTTTGAGTTGGTGGTCTAGAAAACCAAATTCTTGGATTTCTAGGCCACCTACTCAAAAACCAAAATCAGATTCGAATTTCCCACGCGATTTCCTTCAAAATGAGCCCCATATTGACCCATTTTACTAAGTTTTGATTTTTGGGGCACACACGCAGAGCTCGCTGGCCTAGAAATCCAAAAAGTCAGATTTCTAGGCCACCAAACTGGAAATTGATGATAGATTCGAATTTCCTAAAAAAAATTCGTGTGTGCCCCTGAAACTCAAAGTGGATTAAAATTGAAGGAAATTTCACGGAAAACTGGAATCTAACACTACTATTTCGATTGGTGGGCTAGAAGTCCCAGAATTCACATTGTTAGGCCAGACCATATTGCGTGTGTGCCCCTAAAACTCAAAATTGAGCAAACTAGGTCGATATGGGGCTCATTTTGAAGGAAATTCAATGAAAAATTCAAATCTAAGATTAGTTTTGGGTGACGTCGCCTAGAATTCGAGTTATTTCGGGTTCTAGGTCACCAAATTGGCTAAAAATGGCTTAAAATCATTCGTTTTTGCTCATTTTTAAAGCAAAATCTTACGGTGTTCGACTTTTCGACGAATATTCTCGAAATTCCGAATCGTGAATCGTGAAATACGGTCGAAAATCGTTGACAATCCTCAATGGGGCCAGTAATCCGACAATCGACTGGACCAAAGAAGACGTGATCATTGGATTCGGGGCAACGATGAGCAATGGTTCTCCGAGTAGCACTAACTCCCAAATTAGCTGTAAATGATGGACGTGTTGGACGACTGGGGTGGTGAAATCCGGTCGGAATAGGCGGAGGGACTCGTCTCGGTCGTCGGAGAGCTGAAAACCGACATTTTGGGGGTGGTTTCGGGCTGAAAATAGTGGCAAAATCACTAAATAGACGTTAAAAACACCCTAGAAACCCTAAAAATCTTTTTTTTCAGAAAATAACAAAAATTTCGAACCACAGCGGGGATCGAACCAGGGACCTCTAGAATTATCAAAAAATCAAGTTTCTAGAGGTTTTAGGACGTCAAAGACCCGAAAATTGCATCGAAAACCGCTTAGAACACCACAGAAACCCTAAAAATCACTTTTCAAAAAAAAAATTTCGAGCCACAGCGGGATCGAACCAGAGACCCCTAGATTACCTTGTAAAATGAGATTTTCAAGTAAAAAGGCCGTTAAGTTCGAATCGATTTCCGTCATTTTGATACCCATATTGACCTATTTAGGGCCACTTTGAAGAAATTTGAATTTTGGGGCACACACGAAATGTTGAAATTTCGAAGTATTCAAAAGTGCTCAAAATTTGCCAAAATTGGTCTCAAAATGACTGAAAAATTATGACAAAATCGATTCTAGCATCAAATTTGAGGTAGATGGCCTAGAAATTCCAAAATTCGGAATTTTAGGCCAGCCGACATTTCGTGTGTGCCCCAAAACTCAAAATCGGGCAAAATGGGTCGATATGGGGCTCATTTTGAAGGAAATTTTCTCACAAACTCGAATCCGTTGCTAGTTTTTTTGTAGATGACCTAGAAAATCAGATATTTGGGTTTCTAGGCCTCCATGCTAAAATGGGCCTAGATTGACTTAAAATCGTCCGTTTTCAGCCATTTTAGGGCAAATTTTCTGGAATTTTCGATTTTCCGGGTCATTGCTCACCTCAACATGTCCATCCAGCCGAAATTCGTACGGTAGATCACACGCGGCGGGTAGTCGACAGCTTATCAGTGTTCCCAACAGCGGAAATTCCATGGTCCGTCCCACCTGTGGCTGTTGCCACGTGTCAATGTGATGGCAGGCTGGAAATGAGATTTTTAAGCTGAGCAATGGCTGAAATTGGTCAATTTTGAACAATTTTCGAGATTTTTCTGTCAAAAAATTGAAATTGGCGCCAAATTTTAAAAATTTCGAAAAATTTGAATTTTCGCTCACCAGCTTCAATAGCAGCCTCTCCATTCTCAAAAAAGTGCTCCGCGATGCGTGCGGTGACTGAATAGAACAGGGAGAACAGCGGAAGGACGGACATCAGCACGATGCTCTGGAAATTTCAGATTTTCGGGATTTTTCAGCGTCTTTTCGGGATTTTCAGGTTTTTTCAGGGTTTTCAGCCTATTTTTGAGCTAAAATGACTGAAAATTCAAACAAATCGGCTCGAATTGGCCTAAAATGGCTAAAAAAGGTTGGTGCCCCCCCCCCCCCCC